CTCCACCCTAATGCTATGAGAAGTAGGTATTTTCCTAATTTTACAGATGAACAAATAGAGATTCAGAGAAATCACAATTAGTAAGTACCAGACCTAGGATTAAAATCTAAGTCTCTCTTACTTCCAAACCTGTCCTTTTTTCATTATTCTAACACTGCTACCTAGGAAAAGAAAAAAATAAACCTAGTTAAAAACTGTTAAGTGACAAAAAATTAAAGCATATATTTCCAACAGCAACAAAAATTTTTATCAATAATTTATTAATAAATCTATTAAAAGATGCATGTTATAGAGTATATTACAAAATCTTAATGAAATTTAAATTATCTTAATAAATTCAGAGATATACTATGTTCACGAATTGAAAGACTATCCCACTGGTATTCTAGACATCTAGTCTTTTGGTAAAGTGTTTTTTCCTTAGTTGTATATTATACATATCTAAATACTGGCAATCTAGGTAGTTGATAATACCTCTTTTGTGTGTGTGTGTGTGTGTGTGTGTGAGGAAGACTAGCCCTGAGCTAACATCCGATGCCAATCCTCCTCTTTTTTTTGCTGAGGAAGATTGGCCCTGGGCTAATGACATCCATGCCTGTCTTCCTCTACTTTATATGGGACGCCACCACAGCACGGCTTGACAGGCGGTTCATCGGTGCGCACCCAGGATCTGAACCTGCGAGCCCCGGGCTGCCGCAACGGAGCACACACACTTAACCACTGCACCACCGGGCTGGCCCGATAATACCTCATTTTTCACCAAACTCTTCTCAAGTAATATCTGTACTTTGTTTCTCAATTTTATTTATCTGAATTCTAGTACTTGCCCATTAATTTCAACTGTATGAATATACTACAAATTTACCCATTTGATTGATGGATATTTGGCTTGTTTCCATTTGTTTTACTATTAAAAACAATGCTACAATAAGCATGCTTATTCATGTTTCCTTTTGCAGATGTGGAATTTCTCTAGAGTATATATTCCAATATAGTGGAATAGCTGGGTAGAAAATTATGCACATCTTCAAATTTACTACGTATTGCCATTTGCTCTCCTAACTGCTTGTATCAATGTGTAATTCTACAATCTGTATGAGAGCTTTCATTCTTCCGTTGGCTTATTGTCAGTTTGAGTTACTGGTCTTGAAATTTTTTGCCCATCTTGATTGGTGTAAAATGATAGCTTAAATTGTTTTTATATATATTTCCTTAATTACAAATAAGATTATTAGTGAAGGAGGCTGGCCCGGTGGCGTAGCTGTTAAGTGCGCGCGCTCAGCTTCGGTGGCCCACGGGCTTGCAAGTTCAGATCCCAGGCGCGCACTGACACACCGCTTGCCAAGCCATGCTGTGGCGGTGCCCCATATAAAGTAGAGGAAGATGGGCACGGGTGTTAGCCCAGGGCCAGTCTTCCTTGGCGAGAAAGAGGAGGATTGGCATCAGATGTTAGCTCAGGGCTGATCTTCCTCACAACAAAAAAAGATTATTAGTGAAAATTTGTTTTTTGACGTTTAGATTTTTCTCTTCTGTGAAATGCCTGTTCATATCTTTTGCCACTTTTATTGTTTTATCTTGATTTGTAGGAACTCATTACATATTCTAGGTACTAATCGTTTGTTATATATTATACATATCCTCTTTGTTTTGTTTTTAGCTTTCTTTATGGTATCTTTTTTCTCATAGTTTTACTGGTTTGTAGTTTTGTATCTTGTTTAAGAAACTCTTCCTTACCTCAAGATCATAAGGATATTCTGTATTTTCCTCTAAATGTTTGTTTTTCTTTTCATATTTAGTTCTCTGAATAGGAATTTGTTTTTGTATATAGTATGAGATAGGCTTTCAAGTCTGTTCTGCTGGTCTGTGTGTCTATCCGCACAGTCTCTTGACTTGAATAGGATTATGACAAATCTTGATGAATGTTAAGGCAGACCTTATTCTTAAAAATTGTCTTGGCTATTCTTGTTTCATTGCTCTTTCATGTTAATTTTAGTATTACCTCTTTAAGTTCCCGAGGTCGAGGGAGTTATAGCCTGTTGGTATTTTGATTGAAATTGCTTTGAATTTGGAAATTAACTTGGGGATAATTTACATGAATAGGGTATATTACTCCATTATTTAGCTCTTCTGTAATATCATCAATAGTAAAGATATCTATTATTTCTATAGGTCTTATCTTTTGTTTAGATTTCATCCCAAGTGCCTTATGTTTTTTGTTGTGATTTTAAGTGGTATCTTTTTTAAATTACATTTTAAGTCAGTTGCTAGTATATAAGAATGTGATTTATTTTCATGTGTTTATCTTAAATGTACAACCTTGTTGAACTCTCTTATTAATTTTATAATTTATAGATTATTGGGTTTTCTATGTAGACAATCCTATTGTGAAGAATAATAATTTTGTTTCTCTCTTTCTAATCTTTTTACCTTTTATTTCTCTTAACTTGCATTACTGAGCTAGCTAGGAATTCCTATTAAATGAAGTTGAATTTACCATAGATTTTTAGTAGATAGCTTTTATCAAATTGAGGAGGTTCCCTTCTAGTCCTGATACAGTGAGAGTTTTAGCTATGGTGCTGAATTTTATCATATGCTTTTTTTGGGCCATCATCTATGGAAATGACTATATGCTTATTTCCTTTAATATGTTAATGCGGTATATTTCATTAATAGATTTTTAAAATATTAAACATAAATATTAGTTTTTCAGTTAAAATTAGCTAATTCCTGAAAGGGGAAGAAGGAATAAAATGCCTATATATGTAGGTTTATAAAATGTTAAGAATTCAACCAAGGGTAGAGAAGCAGATCTTTGCTCATTGAAATTCACACCTAATTCAGCGGTACTCATTGATTTCACCCCATCTTTTGTAAGAGCTTTTTTTCACTAATTTTCACTTCAAATGCCCACTTTCCTATAGAGAAGATGGTAAACAGTAAAATGATTAGAAGCACAGTGGGATAAAAAGGGAAAAATAATAGAAGAATGTTAAACAGAATAAATTGTTTAGTAGGATCAACTCTATGATATAAGACACATTTGTTGTGAATCCTAGTATTATAGTAATCCAGTGAAGAAAATTTACCTGTAGGATTAAAGGAAAGGCAAAATAAGCATGTTACTCATCATATATTTATTTTCCTTTATGTATTTACTTTTTAAAAATTAACCCAGAAGCAATGTGTGCTTATTTAGTTATGTATCCTGCCAGCCTTTTTTTAATGCACAATATTCTCACATTTTTTAATAGAGGAATATAATGTATACATTGTTTACACTATTGTGGATTTGAATAAGGTATTCAGAATGCTGTCTTATCAGTCTCTTTTTTTAATTAATTAGAAATTGTGGAGGTGTTTATAAAGTTTACTTGGATGGAAGTTTAGCAGTGAGTATTGATTCCTCTTAAATCTTTCCTACAGAAGTAGTGATGGATGTATCCATATGCACACATACATACAAATATATGTATAAGGATGTTCACTGGAATGTTTTTTGTAATAGTAAAAAAACAAAACCAGCGTAACTATCCATCATTAGGGACATGAAGTACATCCATGTAATGAGATATCCTACAGCTATGAAAAAGAATGAGATATAGTTCCATATTAGCACGTATAGATTTATCTCTAAGATATATAATGAGAAAAAACAAGTCAAAGCCCAGAATAGTGTTTCTAATGTTTTAGCACTTGTGCTCTTTTTGTTAAGAGGGGAAGGGGGTATATATTTGCTTAATTATCATGCAGCCATGCTGTGGAATAATATGAAGCCATTAAAAAGAATATACTGACATGGAAAGATCTCTAAGACATATTGTTAAGTTTTAAAATAATAAATCATAGAACATTTATTATCTGATCTCATGAAAAAAAAGTTGTACATTTTTATCTCTGTAAGTGCATATTAAAAGAACAGGATATATACGTATTTAACTACTAACAATGGTTACTTCTTAAAGATACTTGGAGACCAGAGGAATTCGTTACTGTGTATCTATATTGATGAGACTTCGTTCAGATATTATTTCTGTAGTAAAGGAAAAAGTAATATGTGCTCACTATTTAAAAAATTAAGATTTAAAGATAAAATGAAAAAGAAGAAAATAAAAAATATCCACAGTAGCCTTACCACCCACACACATCCTGAGATAACTGCTGTTAAAGCCTTGATAAATATCCTTCCAGAGGTAAGGGACATTTTGTGAAGGACATTTAATCCTAAACCCAGGAGAGGGAGATAAAGAGCACCACGTAAAAAGTTTACACTTAGCTTAGCAGATAGTGGGCATGTTTTTTTAAGCAGAAAAATATCATGATAGCATGTAGCTTATTGTCTGTTTTGGTTTTACTTTTCATTATATCACAGCCTTTATAGGACATAATAGCAGTCAGTAAGTATGTGTTTAAGAAATGAGTGATGGTAATCTACTAACCATTGGTGAAGCTCTTCCAGTTCCAAAACCCAAGATTAAGAAATCATGCTGGTTGACTTTCAGAAAACTGCAAACTTTAGCTAGATAACAATGGGCAGATACCCCTTGGCATTACTAGCTATAGTTTGGATTAACAGTCACAACATTTAATACCACTGTCTTCTCAAATCTGTGCAAGATAGAGAAAGCTCTCACTAGAATAGATAAACAGTCTGGGGTGGCATAGAAAGCTTTGTTTAAGAAACAGTACTTAGCCTTTTCATCTGCTAAGGGACTCTGGCCTTCTTTGCCCTCTTACAGGCCTTGTCTCATAACCCAGAACACTTTGTGTATGTATAGTAGAGAATGGAATGATTCAGGTACCTTGTTCTTGTGCCTGTCTTCCAGTCAAAGAGAGGTCAAATTGAAACTGCTTAATTTTGGAAATATTTTTATATGTACATAAGTATACATGAAGGATAATTTTAACTGTATAATTAGTTAATTATCATGGAGCCTGAGATCAAGTTTCTGAATCTTTTTTAAGGAAACATTAATTTTTACTATTTGTGTTTTTCTTTTTAGTTTCTGCCACTGCCTTCTACAAAGCACAACCTGTAATTCAATTCATGTGTGAAGTTCTTGACATTCATAATATTGATGAGCAACCAAGACCTCTGACTGATTCTCATCGGGTAAAATTCACCAAAGAGATAAAAGGTGAATTAATTAGCATTTGGAGCAACTTAACTATAAAATGCATGGATATAACAAACTATTATTGAAAATTTTTAAATTAAAATCTATTCATGTAACATCACCAGGAAAAAATATAGATCAGATTCTAAAATGTTACATTAAATTCATTACCATAACATCTTAGGTAGTGTTTCAATGGAAGAAATGCCAAGTAATGGAATTAATATCAATACCAGCTAATTTTTTGTTAATACTTTCCCTTACTAGCTGAAGGGATAAGAGTATCCCATGGGAAAATGCTTCTATAATACTGTTAAAAGTAGGAAGCTTATTCTAAAAACATTGTTATTTCAGAACTGGAGTCATTCTTTGAACATTTTCTAATATAATGACTTCCTTATTTTTCTGAAATGATAGCAGAGTATTTTATTCCTTTGAAAATTTATGGATATGGGGCTAGCCTGTTTCCTGTGTTGTTCTAGAGTTGGAATTCAGTTATTTCATGTACATTAAATAGCCAACCATTGATCTTGCCTATTTTAGTTAGTAGCTAAAATTTGTACAGTGGTGTTGCATCATATGCATATTTTACTAATATAAATTCATCTCTACATAGTCTTCCAAAGAGAAAAAAAGTTGTGTTCTGAAATTTATATTTTATATGTATTTACTCTTTATATATATTTCTATATACGTTTAAATATACATAAGCAGTTTTATATGCAAACCCACATACACTGTCCTTTATCGCAATTTGAGAGATTTTTCAAGATTAATTTTGATTATGTAAAATTCTTGCCTTATTCATTATTTTAGAACCTAATCCTCATGTAAGGTGTGACTCCACTGTATTTAGTTCTTTATTATTTAGACATGAAGAGAAATTAGATATTCTCTAATTAGAATGAGTAGTATAAGTTCTATGTATATTAAGGGTTAGATCTTAAATAGTCGGAAATAACTATGTTGTTTTATTTCAAGGTTTTACCTAGGTGTTGTAGATAATTTTCAGCCTGTGGTTTGAATGAAGCATTGAAGTTTGTTCGCTGAACATCTTTCAGTTCCCCCAAATCAATTAGAGTAGCTAAATACATCCTGCTTGCTCCAGTAATCATTCATTCTTTGTCACTTAGTAACCGGGAGAGAGAGTCATTGTAATAAAACATTAAAAGGAAAATCCTTCCTGCTTTGAAAATAAGCATCCATTTCTCTCAAGTTATTTAAGTGCCAAAATAAAAAAGTGTTATATATTACTGTATTGCAACCATACCATTGTCCTTTCATAATCTGTATTAACTGAACAGTTAACATTGTTGGGAGGTACTGCATTAGCCACCATTAATATGTGATCATCTAAATGCCATGCTTTCCAGTGGAGTTGCTGCTTAGTTACCACCTCTGATATCATGAAGTCACTTACATTATTTTGCGGTAACTATGCAATCAACTCATACCACCACTCTATCACAGAAAATACAAGATGTACAGAACAAGGATTCAACTGCTGCCCGAAGAGCATGGACTCGATCTTAACTTCAACTGCTCAGGGGCCCAAAGAAATGACTGAAAAAAATGACTAGAAAGCATTATAAAGTTGATGTTATAGTGAAGGTAAAGCCAAGTTTATAGGTTAAATATTTGATTTATTAAAGCCAAAATTTTGTTTTGGTTGGATGGAGGGTTTGGGGAGGGACCTGGGCAGGGTATTATCTAGTCCATTTTTTTAAGTGTCACCTTTTTGCTAACCCGTGGATTTGGGTCTAATCCTTAGGCACCTGTGACCCTAGATTTGGGGTAGAAAAATCTGAGTTGGATCTAATTGACAAACTGATGATTTTTTCCTCCATTCAAAGTCAAGACAGCTTTCTTTTTTTTTTTTTTTTTTAAGAAGGCTCTTAAAGTACATCATATATTCCTACTACAGTAACTCCAGAGAATCACAGTTGTGTGTTCTGTTCTGTATATTTGGGTTTAGTTTTTAGCTGGCATGAGGAATTTGGTGATAACTGTTAAATAGTGATACAAAGTGTGCTATAATGAATAGATTTCCTTAGTATATTCGTTTGGTTCCAGTTGAACTTTTTCCTGCATATTTAATAATAACTTTTGGGTGGTTTCTTTGTGCAATAATTCATCATAGTTAAACAGCAGAAATATTGAGGGAAATTTATGGTTAAATTATCATATGTATATAAGAGTACCAGTTTATTTTTGGTAAAAACTTTAGTAGGCTTGTAGAACCTTACTAATATTTTTTTTAATTCAAAGGGAAGACTTGAAAACAAATTGCTATGTAGTGTGGATAACAGAAATTTGTTTTAAATTTTTCTATTGTGTTTTTCCCCTAAACATAATATTTTTACAGCTTGCTTACTTTATATTGTTGGTATTTCCTTCTTTAAATACCAATACTACTACTTTAAAATACTATCAAGGACTTTCCTTGGAAAAGGAAATACTAATACTAATACTTGGAAAAGGAAAGTCCTTGATAGTATTTTATTTTCTAGTCTCCTTTATAACATAGAGGCATAGTAAATTCTCTAATTGATCTGAAATTTTAGTTTTATAAAGGTAGTTACTAATAAAAACTATTTCTCACTGATTCAATTAGGAGTACTTCTCAAGAAAAACCCATACCAGTCTGGTTCAGTCACACTGTGTCCGTTTAACATCTTAATTTGTGCTGATATATCAGAAGAAAATATTACTAGGAGTGAACTTTGTGTTTGGTACTACAGTTAGTAATTAGATAGGAAAAGAAGTTATACTATAGCAGGGCTTCTCACCCTTGGCACTATTGATATTTTGAGGTGAATAATTCTTTGTTGTGGTCGGGGGTGGGAGGTAGTGCTGTCCTGTGCATTGTAGGATATTTAGCAGCATCCCTAAATCTAGCATCTACTAGATGCCAATAGCACCCCCAGCTGTGACAATCAAAAATGTTTCCAGACATTACCAAATAATCCCTGAAGGACAAAATCACCTCTGATTGAGAACCACTGCACTATAGGAATCACAGATGTAAAAGGGAAATAATACAAAAATAATAACCATAAATACTATCAGAGAACTAAAAGTTGTCCTCCATCTACCCTTTTTTAAGTTTTCCTCCTTTGGAGTATAGACCATAGAAATAGAGTTGCTTATCTGTGACCAGTAGCCACCACATCTGTTTGTTAACTCTTCTCTAAAGAGTTCCAGGACTGCACTGGCCAATACAGTAGCCACTAGCCATGTGTAGCTATTTAAATTTAAATTAAATTTTCAGTTTCTTAGTCGCACTAGCCACAATTCATGTGCTCAGTAACGCATATTGCTAGTGATTTTAGTGCAGATGTGAAACATTCCATCATCTCAGAAAATTCTATGGACAGCTCTGCTTAAGAAAATTCATCCCGAAGAATTTCAGCCAATGGTTTAAAAGCCCATTGCTTTACATTCTAAAGCAGGCCTGGGATCTTCAAACCCCTAGGGTCTACAGATGGACTGCAAGGATCCAGGAACATCTCAAGTCATGTGCTAAATTATGTGTATGTGTGTTTTTCTGCGAGTTTATTGCTTTCATGAGATTTGCAAAGGGGTCAGTGATTTCATAAGAAGGTAGGGATCACCTGCTCTAGGAATTATTTTGGTTGCATTTGATTTCTAATATTTAGTGGTAAAAGAGTTGTGTCACTATATTATAATTCTACTAAATTGTCTCACCACTTTTGTCACAAGGGCCTGGGATTTTTTTTTTCTTCCTGCTTTAGAAATCTTTGAAGGACTTCCTTCTTGAGCTTTATGAAATTCTGATCTTCAGTCAGTATGTGATGACTGGGTTGTTCAAATAACACGTATTTTGAAGATTATAGAATATCTTGAGAATTATTGCAACTCTTCTTTCATTCCTCTTTCCCTCTCCCAGCATAAATACCTGAATTTATTATAAACAAGGTTTTTTATTAATGGATAACTTTGTCCCGTATTCTACAGGCTTTTCAAATCTTATGATACTATTTTTTAGTGTGTAGAACTGGGTAGGATAGGGGAAAGGTTTGGAGCTAGGTCTATGATGATTGTAACCATTATTATCAATGTTATGTATAAAATCCTGTGTTACTATCACATTGCCTTTATCACAGATTTTCTGTCTGTTTAGAATTTGAGTTTTTATAGTAATGAACAGGTTTTATAACTATAAATATTTTATATGTGACAGTTCTGTAACTTCAGTTTTTCTTGTTGGGAACAGGTCTGAAGGTTGAAGTGACTCATTGTGGCACAATGAGGCGGAAATATCGTGTTTGTAACGTAACAAGAAGGCCTGCCAGTCATCAAACGTAAGAAAAGCTGATGTTTGTCAGAGCAGAGATGATTGAAGCAGCTTGCTCTAGTTAGTGGATTGGGTGTTTTGCCAGCTCATTAATGAGATAAGAGTTGTTAATGTGTACTTTTTTTTTTTTTCCAGCTTTCCTTTACAGTTAGAAAATGGCCAAACTGTGGAGAGAACAGTTGCACAGTATTTCAGAGAAAAGTATACTCTTCAGCTGAAGTACCCACACCTTCCCTGTCTGCAAGTGGGGCAGGAGCAGAAACATACCTATCTGCCGCTAGAAGTAATGTGTTTAAGCTGCTTATTAATATACTCTTATTCGTCATTCTGTTGGGGTCTTGTATTGCCTATAACTTACTTCATACTCTCACATTTATTTTGGAGATTGAGCTGTTTTTAAATTTTATTTTATTCCAAATTTTTGGTAGTGAAATAATATGAAAAAACACTCATCCACAGTCCTACCACTCTAAATATTACCACTGTTAGCATTTTGGTACACTTCTTTTCAGCCTTTTTATCCAGTGTACATTTTAGCTAATACTAATCATACTGTAAAACAGTATTGTTTACTACTTTTTTACTTAACATGATATTAAAAAGAAGCAGTTTGATGAAGTAGATTTTAAAATTTAATTTCACATGTAATTGACACTGAGAGTTTAAAAAATGATATATACATCTAGTATAAATTTTTTTCCATTTGTAGGTCTGTAATATTGTGGCAGGGCAACGATGTATCAAGAAGTTAACGGACAATCAGACTTCTACTATGATCAAAGCAACAGCAAGATCTGCGCCAGATAGACAAGAGGAAATTAGCCGATTGGTTAGTACTTAACCCTAGAAATAGGAATTAAAAGCATATTAGAGTGAGCTACTAAAGAACCATGTCCTTATAAGCTTATACATTATTACCATTCCATGGACTATCAGAATTAAAACGGATCATGGAAGTAATCTAGAGGTGTTCTAGGAGGAAACCTTAGTGAGTTCTATGAGAAGGGTTAGATCCTTCTAATTTAACCCCAAACTCTTTAATTAGTTCCAGAGTAGATTCTCTCAGAACTAACGTTTCAGTTTGGTGAACTGCCACTTTATTACCTCCCACCTAAAAGAGGAGAGAGAAAGGAGGGAAAGTCAAGGTATTATGACTAGCAATAGTGAGAGTCTTAACACTCAGAGTAGGATTGCTTGAAATTCAAGACAGCTTCAACCATATAGGGTCTCTAAGCTATCTCCTTGTTCTAAATGGGGAGGAAGGAAGAGTTGTCGATACCACTTTATAAAACTGATAGAATAAGGCAAAATGAAAAGTAAAAGGCACCTGGTGGATCTTACCTTACTCTCTTCTTGAATACCATTTAAATTATCCAAGTGAAGAAGTCTGGAAATATGAATATTACCCAAAAGAACTTAAGGACACTTTCAAAAGTAATTTTAAAGATTGTTAAAAAAGGATTACAGAACTTTCATTTTATAGGCTAATTACATAAAAAAGACCTTTTTTTCTTATAGTTTTGTAAAGAGGGAATAAAAGTTATTACATGATATTTTACTGGGAAAATACAGGCTGGTTCTCATCATGGATTTTTGTCTGATCTACTATGACAAGATTTTAAAACCTTTAAGAGACTAGAACTTCTCACTATCTCTATAAAATCTCAATAACTAGTTCTAACCCATTTATTACAACTTTTCTGTTCAGAGAGACAATATTGTACAGTATTGCCTGTTCAGAGAGACAATATTGTAGTGGTTAAAAGAGGCTTTGGAATCTTACAGCTCTGGGTTCAAAGTCTGGCTTGTCTACTTGCTTACTGTTACTATTACTGTATTATTCTTTTTTTTTTTTTTTTTTTTTAAAGTTTTTTTTTTTTTTTTTTTTTTAAATTTTTTTTTTTTTTTTTTTTTTTTTTTTTTTTAAAGATTTTATTTATTTTATTTTTTTCCCCCCAAAGCCCCAGTGGATAGTTGTATGTCGTAGCTGCACATCCTTCTAGTTGCTGTATGCGGGACTCGGCCTCAGGATGAACGGAGAAGTGGTGCCTCGATGCGCACCCGGGATCCGAACCCGGGCCACCAGCATCGCAGCGCGCGCACTTAACCACCAAGCCACAGGGCCGGCCCTGTATTATTCTAATTATAGTATCTGGAAGGCTAGTGCAGTGATTGAGAGTAGGAACTCTAGAATCAGAACATACATGGTTTCTATGTCATTTGCTTAGCTATATGGTTTTAGGCCAGTCATTTAACTTTACTAAGCTGTAGTTTTATCCTCTGTAAAATAAAGATTATAAAAGACCTTCTTTTATAGTCATAAGGTTATTGTGAAAATTAATTATAAAACATTTAGCATCAAGCACGTCACTCAGCAAGTCTTTGTAAATGATAATTGTTGTTATTCTTTGTAACCTTACTACGGAGGTACACTAAAACACACCAGAAATGAATGGCATTTAAGCTTGAAGAAAAGATGCATTAGTGCCTAATTTCGAAAACAACTTTCTGTGCTTATTATGGGGAGATTCTTTTTACCTATTTAGATTATATAGTGTTTTTTTTAATGGATTGTTACTCAAAGACTTGAACACTGCCTTCTTTTTGTCATCTCGTTTGACATTTACCCTGAGACCAAGTAAATATGTTTTGAAAAACACAGTTACTATAGCATACTGTGAGCATGAATTACCTCTGAGATCCAAGTTTACACTGAAACTAAATAAATTCTTTATCTTTGTATGTATGGATATATTATGTAAAAATTATAATCTGTATCTTATACTGGCTTTCTTATCTGTCTCAAGTGCATCCCACTAAGTGTTATAATATGGCACTTTTTCTCTAAAAATACACAAGTAAATTTTATATAAATTGTAAATCAAATACTTAGGAAAAAAGAGTTAGGGTTATCAATATTTGTTATCAAACTCTACGTAAGATAAATTTTAATAGTATATGTCTGGATCCTCTAATTAGGTGTTCTTAACCTTTTTTAGGTCAAGTATTTCTTTCTCTTGAAGTCTCTGGACCACCCCCCCCAAATATGCTAGGTTTAATTATATAAAATTACCATTTCATGAGTCATAAATAGTTGAAGTTTCTTATTATTAACCTAATACATTTAAATTTTGTATAAATTGTTGGGAGGTTCAGAGGCTTCCTGCAGTCCATTTATGGTCTGTGGTCCCCAGGTTAAGATTCTCTGCTCTATCATTAGGGCACCATTAACTAGACCTATTGTTAAATATTGTTGACATAGCGCAGAAAAAAAAAATAGAGGTTTCTAATGAGTACAGCAGGGAATTTGGGGGAATTCTGAAAGTAACTACAAACTTTTTCTGTTGTTAGGTAAGAAGTGCAAATTATGAAACAGATCCATTTGTTCAGGAATTTCAATTTAAAGTTCGAGATGAAATGGCCCATGTAACCGGACGAGTACTTCCAGCACCTATGCTCCAATATGGAGGACGGGTAAAACCTCTTGATAGTTTTTTAATTATCAACATATAGTTTCTGTGTATGGAGAGGAGGGCATCCTAGCTAAGTGTGGAATGTAGAAAATGTTTTATTGTTCCAGCAATATTTTTTTGTTTCAAAATGAGTATCTTTGCTTGAATTTAGTAGAACTTTTGTTTTTCTCTGGTAAAAATATAAATTATAATGATTTAAACAGCCTATTCTATGTAGAATGTCAGATACATATCAATTCAGCAATTTGAAATGCTTATTTCAGCTCGTTAAAATAAATTGTATGTTAAGCATTTTTTGCCTTATTACTTCTCTTTGTCCTTTTTCTGTAGAATCGGACAGTAGCAACACCAAGCCACGGAGTATGGGACATGCGAGGGAAACAATTCCACACAGGAGTTGAAATCAAAATGTGGGCTATAGCTTGTTTTGCCACACAGAGGCAGTGCAGAGAAGAAATATTGAAGTAAGTCTTGTCATTAGTTTGGCTTTGGGACCTTTTTGTGTTTAAGTTTTGTGTTTCAATTTTAAATTACTCAGCTAATGTTCTAATCAATGTTGCCTCAAAATGGAGCATATTTAATCACTGAACCTTTAAAAATGTTTCTTCTCAATAGTTTGATGAAGATTCCTCAATTGGTTAGTCATAGTCAGTCACTGATTCATTCTTCTAGGCGTCCTAGTAGACTAGCTTCTGTGTTATAGCAGGACCATCACTGGCTTTTGATAGCAAATGGGTTACGTTTAATTCTCAGCTTTGCTACTCGCTAGCTTTATTACAATGGATAATTTGATTTAATCTTGTTATGCTTCAGTTTTCACCTTTTTAAAATAGAGACAATAATACTTATCTAGTGGATGAGGATTAAATAAAATCCTTATTTATCAATTGAGTCCTTTGAAAGAGTGGTTTAACTCCTCTTTCACTTCCTTGCTTTTCAAAATTTGGCCGCCATCTCCACCACTTCGCCTCTTTCCCAGATTCTTTCCCTCAATATGTAAGTGTTCAACAGTCTTCTGTTTAAATTTAAAACAAACAAAATCTTCACTGTTCAATTTACCTCACTTATTCTCTCAGGCTTCCAGACTTACCTTCTCTCTCCTTCCTTGAAATCTTAGTGCTCTGCTGAAACTAGTTCCTGGAAGATCTCTGATATCTTTGTGCTTATCAATTCTAATGGTCTCTTCTCAGCCATTATTTTCTCAAAATTTGTGCAGCATTAGATACAATTGAATACCTTCTTGACATTCTCTCCATTCTTGCCTTCCTGGTTCCTTTTTATCACGTTGGCTTCTTTTCTTTTTTATCTCCTCTCCTTTGGAACTCTCAAGTCTTTGGGGCTTTGGTAATCTCAAGGGCTTCTGCTATCATTCTTGAAGAGCTGTGCTGTCGTGAAAGATTACCAGCTCCACTTGTGTCTCCCCCCACTCCAAAACTTTTAGGCTTCTCTTTGACAAAGAGTAACGTTAAATTGTTAAATAGAAGAATAACATTAAAATCACATAACATAACATAAATAACATAAAAATCAGTATAACATTTAAATCTTTCACCTGCCTAAGTCCTTTCTCCATTTTCACATATTCTGAACAAAGAAATTGAAGCAGTGTATTCCCTCTATCTCTCTGGCATTTTTTTCTGTTTCTACTTATGCTGCTCTTTACTGAAAATGCCTCCTTCCTGTCTCTACTCATCTAAATAATATCCAGTCTTCTGTGATTTGTGATGCTGGAAATAATCTCTCTTAACTCTAAATATAGTAGCTTATCAATATCCTCTCTATTTGTACTTGTCACTTTCTGTGTAAAATAGAATTGTATTCTAATTATTTGTGTAAATTTCTTTTTTTTTTTTTTGTGGGGAAGATCAGCCCTGAGCTAACATCCATGCTAATCCTCCGCTTTTTGCTGAGGAAGACCAGCTCTGAGCTAACATCTATTGCCAATCCTCCGCCTTTTTTTTTTTCCCCAAAGCCCCAGTAGATAGTTGTATGTCATAGTTGCACATCCTTCTAGTTGCTATATGTGGGACGCGGCCTCAGCATGGCCGGAGAAGTGGTGCGTCGGTGCGCGCCCGGGATCCGAACCCTGGCCGCCAGCAGCGGAGCGTGCACACTTAACCGCTAAGCCACGGGGCCGGCCCTAATTGTATTTCTTAAAGTTCACTTAATATGTTTTTTTCTCCAAAGTTTTTATCCCCCTGCTTTCAAGTAAAATATCATAAGGACAGTTTACTACAATGCTACGATTATCTTACTTGGCCTCCAGAGACCAAAGAAAACACCTCCAGTCATTTTTCAAGCCTAGGGTCATTCTTTTCATTTTGCATTTGTTATTCATGGCTTGATAGAATCTTATGATCAGGGACTTATGGCTCTTATTCAATCAAAATATTCAACGTCATACTTCTTGAATTAAACACTAATAAGGAAAAGGAGAAGAAGGGAATTCCTACAAACGTCATCTCTGTCCTGAGGGAATTGGGGTGTTTTTGAGCAAAGATAACTCAGATCCTTGACTTAGGACCTTATTTGTTTTAAAACAAGTAAAGTGATTGTTAAACCTCAACATCATTACTCTATCCTAGGCTAAATGCAGAATTTTGTTTAAATATGAAATTATTAATCTTTTATTTTTTTCAGTGTGGATGAAAGTACATTAAAGTGCTGCCTGCCTCATTTGTTTTTAAATGTTGTGTTCATATTTTCTTAATCTTTTCTGAGGACGCAATCTTTCCTGCTATCCTAATTTGAGACAGGTAATATGGAAAGAAACTCTGGATTAGGTCGTAGTTCTGACTCTGCTATTTATCTAACCATTTGATCTTGACCGAATACTTAATGTCCCAGAAACAATTTCCTGATCTATAAAATGGGAATAATACCTGACCTACCACTTTCTTAGGAATCGTGTCAAGATTGAATTAGAAAATGTACGACAGCTTAAATTTATCAAGCTCTTACCATGTCTTGGGCTAAGGGCTAAGTGCTTTTACATGTATTATCTCATTTAATCATCACACCAGCCTTAGAATGGAAGTAATCACATTGTAAATGAGAGAAACTGAAAAAATTTGCCTAAAATTTCATAACTAGTAAGTAACAGAATTAGAATTGGAACATGTCTTGCTAACTTGAGAGCTAAGCTCTTAACTAGCACGCTCTATTACTAATGGCCTTTGTAAACTACAAAACGCCACATAACTGTATAGTAGTGTTAGTTTGCAAAATAGATTACTGACCCGCTATTGCCCTTAACATCAGTAATCTGGTGATCTCTTCATATATGGAGCACACGTATCTTTGCTTCATTCTGCATTCTCTTCCCAAACTTTCCATTACTACTTTGTAGGTGTTTATGACTAGAGAAAGGTTTTATTTTTATTGATTTCTCCTTCCAGGGGTTTCACGGACCAACTGCGTAAGATTTCTAAAGATGCGGGAATGCCCATCCAGGGCCAGCCTTGCTTCTGCAAATATGCGCAGGGGGCAGACAGCGTGGAGCCCATGTTCCGGCATCTCAAGAACACCTACTCTGGGCTGCAGCTCATTATCGTCATCTTGCCGGGGAAGACACCGGTATATGGTAAGGATAACTTCAGATTGCGTTTTTCCTCAAGTACTTGATATTCCTTTTAGAATTATGCTAAAACATATCCTAAAACTTCCAAACATTAAAACATATTTTATAGCTACAGTATTGAAACTTGTTAACTTTAAAAAGACAAGTCAGTAGATCGATTTAAATAGTCTAAGAAGAGACCCTGTGAAAAGAATTTCAGTAGTTAAAGGAGGCATTTGAAAACAATGGTGGAGCAAAGAATTATTTCTTAAAAATGGCATTGAGATAACTTGAGTATCAGTGTAATGTAGTGGTTAAAAAGCACAGACTCTGGAGTCAAATTATGCTGCTTAATACTCAGCTACTGCCAGGTGTACTGCCTGTGAGATCTAGCTGAATTACTTAACCACACTCAGCCTTCATTTCCTCATCTATGAAATTAGGATACTAAAACTACCTAACCCATATAAGGTAGTTGTAAGGATTAAATAAATTTACATATGTAAACAGGGACTAGAATAGCGCCTGTCATATAGTGAACACTCAGTAAATGTCAGCTATTATTATTGTAAACAAATTAAAGTTTTATGAGATCAATAAATATAAATCATTGTGGAGGCCAGCCCCGTGGCTTAGTGGTTAAGTGCTCGCGCTCTGCTACTGGCAGCCCGGGTTCAGATCCCGGGTGCGCACCGACACACCGCTTGTCCGGCCGTGCTAAGGCTGCGTCCCACATACAGCAACTAGGAGGATGTGCAACTATGACATGCAACTATCTGCTGGGGCTTTGCGGAGAAAAAAGAAGGAGGATTGGCAATAGATGTTAGCTCAGAGCTGGTCTTCCTCAGCAAAAGGAAGAGAATTAGCATGGATGTTAGCTCAGGGCTCATCTTCCTCACAAAAAAAAAAAAAAATCATTGAATCATGGAAAAACACACAGAAAGTACCGTTTTCAACCTCCTGAATGGGGTATAATCATTTAAGCTTAAAAATGATAGAAGAATTTGCAAAGGAAAATTGTTAGATTTGACTGCATAAAAATTAAATTTTCTGTATGTCACAAAAGTATAACTAAAATTAAAAGCAAACCAAGAATGTGAAAAATATTTACAACAAATGGAGACAACGAAGGGCTAGTTTGTTATTAGTTAAAATATTCACAGAGGGCCGGCCCCGTGGCTTAGCGGTTAAGTGCTCGCGCTCCGCTACTGGCGGCCCCGCGTTCGGATCCCAGGCGCTCACTGACGCACCGCTTGTCAGGCCATGCTGAGGCTGCGTCCCACATACAGCAACTAGAATGATGTGCACCTATGACATACAACTATCTACTGGGGCTTTGGGCCGGGGGGGACAAAAGGAGGAGGATTGGCAATAGATGTTAGCTCAGAGCCGGTCTTCCTCAGCAAAAGGAGAAGGATTAGCACGGATGTTAGCTCAGGGCTGATCTTCCTCACCAAAAAAAAAAAAAAATTCATATAGATCTATTATGTGTTCAAAGGAAAAAATTCTTACATTCTTTTAGATTAATGAGAAAGAATATAAACTAAAATTTCTCAAGAAAAAACAAGTAAATATATGAGAAAATGTGGGTTTTCACCAATAGTTTAAGAAAAGTAGAGTAATAAAGGGAAAAATTTTATGCTACTAAATTAGCAAATATACTTAAATATTATAATACCTAGTGCTTGTGAGTATGCAGTGAATCTAGTATTTTATGGCAGTGCAAATTGGTATCTTTTCCATCGAAAGTAGAAAAATGTGTTTTTCGTCTGCAATTTATATTTCCAATTCCAAAAATGTGTTCAAAGAATTCATAATGTAGAAAACTTTTTTTTTTTTTGAGGGAGATTGGCCCTGTGCTAACATCTGTTACCCAGTCTTCCTCTTTTTTCCTTTTTCTCCCCAAAGCCCCAGTACATAGTTGTGTATCATAGTTGTAGAGTTGTAGCTCTTCTGTCTAGGATGCCACCTCAGCATGGCTTGACGATCGGTGAGTAGGTCCTTGCCCAGGATCCGAACTGGTGAACCCCAGGTCGCAGAAGTGAAACTCTCGAACTTAACTGCTCTGCTGCCGGGTCGGCCCCTAGAAAAATCTTTATGCACAAATAATGATGTCTGTGATGTTAAAAAATAAGAACTGGCTTTAAACAATGAGTAAGTTAATAGTATGTTGATGAAATAGTCTGCAGTAATTAAAAATGATGGTTATAAAATTCAAAAGATATTTTTTATGTTGTGATAAAATGCAGAAGGTTTTAAACTCAAAAAATTTGTAAATCAGTAAGGAAATGACAAACAACTCAACTGAAAAATAGACCAAGGACGTAAAACAGAAAAACAAATGGTCAGTTATTTTATGAGATCATGCTTAGCCTCATTTGTCATTAAAGAAATATGGACTAGAATAAGTTATTTTTCACCAACAGTGACAATACCCGTTTTTGGCAAAAATGTGAATAATTAATTATACACTCTCGTACCCTGTTGATGGGAGGGGAAGTTGTTATTACCATAGCCTCCAAACTGGTGTTCTTCTCTGCATTGCTTCTAGTTCCCTTTTAGTCCATTGTCGACACTGCTGCCAGAGTGATTTTTTTTTTAATTAATAGACTTTATTTTGTAGAACAGTTTTAGATTTATAGAAACATTGAGCAGATAGTAGAGTTCCTATATGCTTCCCCTCCCCTGCACACAGTTTTCCCTATTATTAACATCTTGTATTAGTGTGGTACATTTAATGAACCAATATTGGTAAATTATTATTAATATATTGTCCACAGTTTATATTAAAGTTCACTCTTTGTGTTGTACAGGTCTATGGGTTTTGACAAATGCATAACATCATGTATCTACTATTACAGTATCATAAAGAATAGTTTCCCTGCTCTAGGCCGGCCCCGTGGCTTAGCGGTTAAGTGCGCATGCTCCGCTGCTGGCGGCCCCGGGGTCGGATCCCGGGCGCGCACCGACGCACCGCTTCTCCCACCATGCTGAGGCCGTGTCCCACATACAGCAACTAGAAGGATGTGCAGCTATGACATACAACTATCTACTGGGGCTTTGGGGGGAAAAAATAAATAAATAAAATCTTTTAAAAAAAATAAAGAATAGTTTCCCTGCTCTAAAAATCATCTGTGTTCCACCTATTCATCCCTCCTGCCCTCTTCTCAAACCCCTGACAACCACTGGTCTTTTTATGTCTCTATAGTTTTGCCTTTTCTAAAACGTCATATAGTTGGAGTTATATGGTATGTACCGTTTTCTGATTGGCTTCTTTCACTTAGCAGTGTGCGTTTAAGATTCCTCCATGTCTTTTCATGGCTTGACAAGTCATTTCTTTTTACTGCTGAATAATATTCCATTGTATGAATGTACTATAGTCTGTTATCTGTTTACCTATTCAAGGACATCTTATTGCTTCCCATTTTTATCAATTATGAATAATGCTGTTATAAATATTCACGTGCAAGTTCTTGTGTGGACATAAGTTTCCAGCTCAGTTGGGTAAATAACTAGGAAACTAATTAGTGTATTGAATAGTAAGACTACCAAATTATCTTCTAAAGTGGCTGTGCCGTTTTGTATGTACACCAGCAATGAATGAGAGTTCTTATTGCTCTGCATCCTCTCCAGCATTTGGTATTGTCGATTTTAGGATTCTAATAGGTGTATAGTGGTATCTTGTTGTTTTAATTTGCAATTCCTTAATGACACATAATGTTGAGTGTTTTTTCATATGCTTTTTTTCCTTTTGTATGTCTTTTTTTGATGAAGTGTCTGTTCCAATCTTTTGCACATTGTTTAATTAGGGTGTTTGTTTTCTTATTGTTCAGCTTTAAGAGTTCTTTGTATATTTTAGATACAAGTTTTTTATCAGATATGTGTTTTGCAAATATTTTCTCCCAGTCTGTGACTTGTCTTTTCATTCTCTTAACAGTGTCTTTCATAGAGTACAAGTTTTTAATTTTAATAAAGTCTAACTCATCAATTTTTTCTTTCACAGGTCATGTTTTTGGTGTTACATTTAAACCTCATTGCCAAACCCAAGGTCACCAAAGTTTTCACCAAAGTTATCTTCTAGTGGTTTTATAGTTTTGCTTTCTACGTATAGGTTTATAACACATTTTGAGTTAATTTTTGTGAGAGATAAAGTGTCTTTGTCTAGATTCACTTTTTTGCATGTGGCTCTCCAGTTCTTCCAGCACTATTTGTTGGAAAGACTGTCTTTCTATTAAATTGCCTCTGCTGCTTTGTCAAAGATTGACTGACTATATTTGTATGTCTGTTTTCTGGACCCTTTATTTTGTTCCACTGGTCTGTATGTCTATTCATTTGCTAATATGACACTGTCTTGATTAATATTGCTTTATAGAAAGTCTTGAAGTCAGATAGTGTCAGTTCTCTGACTTTGTTCTTTCTTCTTCACTATTATGTTAGCTATTCTGAGTCTTTTGCCTCTGTATATAAATGTTAGAGTCAATTTGTCAGTAGCCACAAAATGACTTGCTGAGGTTTTTATTTGGATTACATTGAATCTATAGATCAAGCTGGAAAGAATTGACATCTTAACAATATTAAGTCTTTTTATGTTTGAATATGGAATATCTCTCTGTTTAGAGCTTCTTTGATTTCATCAGAGTTTTATAGTTTTCCTCATATAGATCCTGCACACATTTTATTAGATTTGTTTTTTTTTCTTTTGATGCTAATGTAAATGGTATTGTGTTTTTAATTTTATTTATTTTATCTTATTTTTTTACTTTCTTTTTCTTTTTCTTTTTCTTTTTGTGAGGAAGATCAGCCCTGAGCTAATATCCGTGCCAATCTTCCTCTTTTTGCTGAGGAAGACTGGCCCTGGGCTAACATCTGCCCATCTTCCTCCACTTTATATGGGACACTGCCACAGCGTGGCCTGACAAGTGATGCATTGGTGCACGCCCAGGATCCGAACCTGGGCTGCCAGCAGCGGAGTGCACGCACTTAACCGCTACGCCACGGGGCCGGCCCCTGTGTTTTTAATTTTA